CCTCTCGTGGCCCCGCAAGGAGGCCCGCCCCTGGCTTCTGCCTCGGTCTGAAATCTTCGAGCCCGGAACAGCCCCTCGCACCCGCGTTTGCGAAAAGTTATTCTTATGCGCAGGTGCTGACGATTGCATGGGGATACATGTGTATGTATATATCGATGTATGTGTGTGTACGATTACGTGTCTATATCGATACATACATAAATATGTATGTATATATACATATGTATATATATATATGTGGTAGAACCACGCGCGCTTTGTGCGCGTTTAGGTTCTAGTCCATGGCATTTGGAAGCATATTGGGCCGTCTCAGGAACACTTTAGAACGTCTTGAAGCTAACTGCACGGGCATCGGCCCAAGGATAACGCAGTGCCATTGCGGAGGACAACAACCAAGGAGGAGAACACAATACTCGGAGAACGACGACGACGAAGAGAAGATCACAAACGGGGGAACGAACGACGAAACGACGGGGGAACGGAAAGAAACGTAAGGCGCCCGCTGGACCGCGCGCCCTCCGCAGCGACCGATGTCCCGTGAAACGAGGTGGTTAATGGGGACGGAGGAGGAGGAGACCGCAACGAACAGACGCGGGCATGCAAGGAGGAAAAGCAAGGAGCGGCAGGAGCAACACGAAGCGAGCAACCGTGCGGGGGGCGGTCTTATATCCCTCTTTGGCTGTCTTGTGGTGGTCTTGTGGCCCTCTTGGGTGATTTCGGGCGGGTCTGGAGGGTATATTTGGCCGGTGGCCGGCTTGCTTCAGCAGCGCCAAATACGTGATATCGCGGCACGACATTCCTTCAAACAACACTGAAACATCATAGCATTGGCCGTTGGTGTCCTTGTATGTATACACACATGTATGGATATATATATATATATATATATATGTATATATATATATATGTGTATATATCTATATATGTATATATATATACAACTGTATATGTACACCCTTCGGTCCATCCCGCCACCGCGCCCAAATTGTAGGTCACAAGCCGCTTGGATGCACATGGACATCTCTTAGGAGGCCGCTCGGAAGCCTCTCGGAGGCGATTTTGGGGGGTCCTGGGGCCCCTCCCGTGCCGTGATTTTTGGGCCTCTCGGCGGTCTCCTGGGTTTTCTGGTGGACCTGTCCAATGAGGAGAGGGCCGCGTCCAACGCTACACGCAGCTGCAAAGGACTGTGCCCTTCGCCTGGTATGACTTCCAGGGTCTTGGATAGGGCCCGCCAGAGGCACTCCCCTGGTGGGCCTCCGAGCCCCCTCGTCCTCCTCTTTCGCGTTGTGCACTTCCGCCCTGCGCCGCGAGTAAACTTCTGACCTTCTCGTCCAATATGTCGCGTGTCCTGCCTGCCGGTGTCTGCAGCCATGCTTGGCACTCGTTTGTGTTGGACCACTCCTGCTTGGAAGTCTGGTCGCGCAACAACGCTGTATATGCATGCGTACGTGGACGCGCATGCATAAGGACGTGATCATATTTGCACTCATGCACGAACATGCGTGTGCAATGCGTGCCTCCTGAACACGCGAGTCACACAATACGTCGCCGAGTAGGAACATGGTTGAAACATTCGGGGGCGGCCAAGAGGGGGGGGTCCAAGAGGGGAGCTCGCAAATCATGGCCCGCGGCATGTGTGCGGCCCAGGGGGGGTCCGGGGACGTATTGAAATCAGAAGGGGCGCCATGACATCTGGGGGCATATCATGGCCCCTGCCATGATACCCAACTCCCCTAGTCATCACCCCCCTCTTGGCCGCCCCCGAAGATACCCGCTCGGCTCAACTAGCCGAGGGCCACTCGCGAGAGGGGGCGGCAAGAAAAAACGCGCCGCTCTAGACAGGCGGGCGGACCACGGAGGGCGCACCGCGTAAAGCAGGGCCACATGCGCCGTGGTGGGCTGCCTCGGGCCCACGGCTTGCTGGGCAAGGGCAGGTCCGGGGGATGCCAACAACGATTGGTCGAACGGCGAGGAGCGACCCAGCCATCTGGAGCGACCCAGCTGGCATGGTTGGGCTGACTAAAGATCGGATTGAAGCTCAAGAGCTTTGAACACATGATGCGTGGTGCGTTGCAGATGCTCCAGTGTTCTGCGTTGTTGTGTAGCACGCATGCGGCTGACTCGACCCACCACATAAGATAAGATGCCATGTCATGTATGCATCGGTATCTGTGGGGCAGTAGCGAGCGAAGAACGGCACACAAAAACTGTTCCGTCACCGGGGGCGCCTGTCCCAAGGCGGCTGGAAAATTGATACCTTGACGTGCCACCGTAAGGGTATAAACGTTCCGGCCGCCTTAAGACAGGCGCCCCCGACAGCGAAACAAATCATTGTATACCGTCTTTAGCCCGTTAAAATCAGGCCGTCTCCGAAACAATACCTTGCCCTGAAACTAGGCTCCTCATTATCACCACGTGCTCTCTTATCCGCCACCGTGCCTCTGGGCACGGGCTGGGCGTGCCATCAGGTCCTTTCCCTGATCTTCTAAGCCTCAATCCTCACTCCTGAGGGGTCCGCTAGGGGCCTGGAGCCCAAATTGCCAAATCTCCCAAGGCTTGCCGCGGCTCGTCAGGGGCCTCCCGCATCTCCCCGCGTGACTTGTTCGGGCCAAAGAGGGCCCCAAGTCGGACAAAGAGAGCCCCAAGAGGCTCCCAAGATGCTCTAACAGGGCTTTGAGACGCCGAATGATCGCCTCAAGCCGCCCAAAGTGGCCTCAAGACGGCCCCAGAACCCTCCAAAACGGCCCAAGAGGCCTCCTAAGAGAGCCTCAGGAGGCAACGAGCAGTGATTTATCTTCGGTTTTCTGTTGAACAAAACAAGATTTTGGCGTTCTCACATTTTCTGCTTCCCGACGATCCAAGACTGCCCAAGATGCCCGCATGCCTGGAGCCGCTCGGCAAGGATGTCTCCGCTCCAGATGGGCCCAATATGGCCTCTAAGACGGCCAAGACGGCCTCCAAGTTCGCCTAAGAAAGTCCAAAATTGCTTCCTGGACGGCCCAAGAGGCTCAAAGATACGTCCAAGTCCGCCCAAGAAGCCTCCAAGACGACCCAAGAGGCACCAAAGAGACTCTCAAGGCGGCTCAAGAGGCCCCCAGCAGTGTCCGAAGAGGCCAACATCATCGACTTTCCGGAGGTTTTTGGCAGTTGCTTCTTCTGGCCTTCCGACGGCCCAGGACGGCCCAACAGGCTCCCAAGATTGCCCCAGAATGGCCTCAAAGGCCTTCAAGATGACCGCATGGCGGTCCAAGAAACCTCCAAGACTGCCCCAGGAGGGCCTCAAGACGGCCCAAGAGGCCTCCAAGACGCCCACGATGGTCTCCAAGACGGCCCTGAAGCACCCCAAGAGGGCCCCCAGTCGATTCAGAGAGGCCCCCAAGACGACTTCCGACGGCGTCAGACGGGCCAGGAAAGCTCTCAGTCACCAAAGAGGCCTCCAAGAAGCCTCAGGAGGCTCCCGAGAGGCTCGCCCAAGTAGGCTTCCACGAGGCCTCAGCGAGGCCCACAGGAAGCTCCCAGAAGGCCCCAAAAAATCTCCTCCTGCTCCTCTTCCGCCTCCTCCTCCTCCTCCTCCTCCTCCTCCTCCTCCTCCTCTCTATGTTTCCTCCCTCTCCTCCGCTTCCTCTTTCTCCCCCGCGTGTTCCCCGAAGGGCTTCCACAACGGCTGTGGGAACACATTGTCAGATAGCTTGGCAGAGCTCTGGCCACAACGTTCGGTCACGTGGGCGAATCCAAAAGGCAGGGGGCGGCGGTGATTCGCCGTAGGCGTCTTCGATATGGAGGCTGAATAATTACGAACTGGCCTCTACATCGACCTCTGCGGCAAACACGACCCCGTATCCCACCCGAGGGGAACTCGTTGCAGGCTGGCGCGACCAGCAAAAAAGGACTCGCGCGACCAACCTGAGGCGTGTGAGACCACTCCGAGCCAGAAACCAGGCGCCACCCCGCCTCTGTCAGGTGCCGACTGGAGTGCCCCTGGCCCCAAGGTGCCCTCTCCCGAGGCCGCTCCCTGGGGCCTCGGGACGGGGACCCCTTCGGAACCCCGTCCGGGCCCGGGCTCGACGGCTGCCATCTGGTGGCCCCGCCCCCCGACAGCCCTTCGGTCACCTTGGGCCCAGGACCACTCGCATCATCACCCGAACTCTCAGGACTGAGCCGATGTTAAGACCAGGGCCTGCGGCGGCACGCCGATAGGCGTCCCCGATGACGGGTTGGGCACGGCGGAAACGCGGACCACACACCAGCGCCCAAAGAGAATTCGGAGTCTCAAACTCCAAGGGCAGGCAGGACGATCCTCTCCCACCTGGCGGCGTCTTTGCCACAGCTAAGACCACAACCCACAAGAAAATGTTTCGCAAGGTTTTCCGCGGAATGCACAGACCTGTTTACATCGTACAAGGAAAACGGCGCACAATGTTCAAGGTATACAACGGAGTCGCAGATCTTTACCAACATGATGGATCGAATGAGCCTGGGACTAGCAAGCTAGGCAACTGCGTAACAACAACTGGGAATATCCCTTGAGCGACCCTCCGCCTGCCTTAGCAAGCTCAAGCAGAGGACGGACGCATGACAAGAAAGAAGACTCTGACTGCAAAAACTCTTAGGAACCGTGTTGCAACGAGAACGAAAACGTCTGGAATGCTTGCTGGGGTGGAGACCTAGGGAGGCTGGCACTGGACAGAAACAGCAGGGATACCTTGTGGCAACAACAAAGAACGTGGGCTTTCAGAACTTGGTCAGGGCGCCTCTTCGCACCGGGCGTGCGCCATCTGCAGGGCACCCCAGTGCCAGCAGCGCCAGTCGCTAACGATGGGCACAGGCCGCGGAATGACGAACGATCCAGCGCCAAGTGAGGTTTATCCTCGGCCCCAGATTCTCGCTCTCCATCGGCACGCGGTGCTGATAATGCTTCTGGGTCATGCCCTCCATGGTACAGAGGGCCCCGCAGCCCAAGGTCATCCGCACGCTGGGGTTCTCCCCCTCCTCTGGCCAATTCAGCTTGAGATCGAACTTCCGAGGCTGGTCGGTGGCGCGCTAGAAGGGGGGCTGGGGCGAGGGTGGCGGCGCCTTCTTTGAGCATGGGGCCCGAGCAGATGGGGTCAGAAAATCGACCCGCATCGCCAATGCATCTACGACGTCGCGCCGACGATGAATTGGCGATGCGGTGCGATCCTTCTATCCAATCTGCTCTGGCTCAATCGGGGAACCCTGGAATGAGGGCGCGCGAAACTTCTTAAGGCCAGCCCAACCCATACTAAAGTACGCCAACCTCCTTTGGATCGTCTTCGTCGTAAGGGAGATCGAACAAACAAGGGGCATTGGAGAATGTTGCAATTACGTGGAAGGGAAGCCCTTTCCCTTTGTCCCTTCCCCGCCTGGGAGGGGGGGGGCTGGGGGGGGGCGCGGGGGGAGCGTCCCAGGGGGGGGGGGGGGGGCACGGGGGGTCCTATGTGGGGGGGCAGGGGGGCGACCGCGTGTTTGTGAGGCCCGTTGGATGCTTGTGTGGGCCGTTGCGTGTTTGTATCGCCCGGCAAGCGGTCTGATGCTTTACTGTGGCCCGCGACGGTTCCGCCCAGGAAAAAATTGCCGCACAAACTCCGATCTTGAAAGCAATTTGGACGAAGTCGTAATATTACTGGCGATGCCAGCAGCGGCGGCGGTGGCCGTGCAAGTGGCAGACGCAGTAGTAGTAGTAGTAGTAGTAGTAGTAGTAGTAGTAGTAGTAGTAGTAGTAGTAGTAATAGTAGTAGTAGTAGTAGTAATAGTAGTAGTAGTAGTAGTAGTAGTAGTAGTAGTAGTAGTAGTAGTAGTAGTAGTATGTACCAGTAGTAGTAGTAAGAGTAGTAGTAGTAGTGGTAGTACTACTACTACTACTACTAGTTGTAGTGGGAAATTGCTGCAATAGTTCTAGTAGTAGTACTCGTCGTCGTAGTACTAATCGTAGACATGGTGGTCGTAGCAATCGTAACCGAAGTAGACGTGGAAGTCGTAACAGTCATAGTAGTAGAAGTGGTAGTAGTAGCAATCGTAGTAGTAGTAGTAGTAGTAGTAGTAATAGTAGTAGTAATCGTAGTAGTAGTAGTAGTAGCAGTAGTAGTAGTAGTAGTAGTAGTAGAAGTAGTAGTAGTGTAGTAGTGGTAGTAGTAGTAGTAGTAGTAGTAGTAGTAGTAGTAGTAGTAGTAGTAGTAGTAGTGGTAGAAGTAATAGTAGTAGCAGTAGCAATCGTGCTAGTAGAGAGCATGAGCATGCGACTACTACCACTGAGCATAATACTAGTAGTAGTCGTAGTAGTAGTAGTACTAGTAATAGCAGTAGTAGTAGTAGTAGTAGTAGTAGTAGTAGTAGTAGTTAGCAGTAGTAGTCGTAGTCGTAGTAGTAGTAGTAGTAGTAGTAGTAGTGCTCGTAGTAGTAGTAGTAGTAATAGTGGGTAGTAGTAGCATTAATAATCGTAATAGTAGTATTGAAAAATGAATAGAGGTAGTAGTGGAAACTGTCGTGGTCGTACGAAGAATGCAGAACACATACAATACTAGTTGTGATCGAAACACATCTGCGTCGCAGGGGTACTCGTCGTCGTTGAGGTAAGGAGTACTTGGAGTAGTAGTAGTAGTAGTAGTAGTAGTAGTAGTAGTAGTGGTAATGGTAGTAGTAGTAGTAGTAGTAGTAGTAGTAGTAGCAGTAAGAGTAGTGGTAATATAATTAGTAGTGATTGCCGTAAGAGTCGTAGTCGTGATCGTAGTCGTGGTAGTAGTAGTAACAATAGCAGTGGTATGTAGTAGTAGAAATATAAATAGGCGTCTTCGTCGTAGTAGTACTACTAGTCGGACTGGTAGTAGTAGTAGTAGTAGTAGTAGTAGTAGTAGTAGTAGTAGTAGTAGTAGTAGTAGGTAGTAGTAGTAGTAGTAGTAGTAGTAGTAGTAGTAGTAGTAGTAGTAGTAGTAGTAGTAGTAGTAGTAGTAGTAGTAGTAGTAGTAATAGTAGTAGTAGTAGTAGTAGTAGTAGTAGTAGAAGTAGTAGTAGTAGTAGTAGTAGTAGTACTAGTAGCAACAATAGTAGTAATGTTGATAGTCGTAGTAGTCGTAAAAATCGTAGTCGTAGTAAGAGTAGTCGTAGTGGTCGTAGTAGTGGTCGTCATAGTAGTAGTCGTGGTAGTAGTAGTGGTAGTAGTAGTAGTAGTAGTAGTAGTAGTCGTAGTAGTAGTAGAAGTAACAGTAGTGATAGTAGGGTAGTAGGAATAGCTGTACGAGTGGTCGTAGTATCAACCGTAGAAGTAGTAGTCGTTGTAACAGTAGTAGTAGTAGTAGTAGTAGTAGTAGTAGTAGTAGCGGTAGTAGTAAGAGTAGTAGTAGTAGTCGTAGTAGTAGTAGTAGTAGTAGTAGTAGTAGTAGTAGCTAGTAGTAGCTAGTAGTAGTAGTAGCAGCAGCAGCAGTAGTAGTAGTAGTAGTAGTAGTAGTGAATAGTCGTAGTAGTAGTAGTAGTAGTAGTAGTAGTAGT